CAGTTGTTCTTGTAATTAATTTCCAGCAGAATAAGAAAACAGACTCCGATACTTGAGACAGTCTCGCTACGATAAACATGCTGCAAGTTACCAACCATGCTCATGCGACATTCTTGTACTCCTGTGAAGCCGCGGCGTCACGGGCCGGACGAGGGGCCCAGGATGGTTTAGTAGTTCTTCCACATGCAGAATACGTCTGTGTGTAATACAGTCTAGGTCCATGCATCATTTACAATTTATCAGATGAGTTAGTATTTCCCCTATTTTGTGAAATGGTTTAGTCTGTTGTTTTTTCGATACGCACTGACAGTTTCACGACTAATTACAGACATTTTCTCACATGTAGAGGGATTCTGGCTATGAGTTACTTTCATTTCAGATGTTAAGACTGGCACACAAAAAAGGAACGAAAAAGACTGATTATATTTGTAATTAATACTGTATATCATTATCATATGAGAGCTAGTAAGCGAGGAAGGTGAAGACTTGTGAGACATGTGAAGTCAGCCAGCTGCATCTTTTTGAACTGCTGCTCATGTAGCGTCACGGGGCGGAGTAACACACTCGGAGGAAAGCGCTATCTGGACCCTTCCGCATACATGAGCTTACAGATGCCTGTGATCAGCTAGCGTTGCTATGATTGACAGGGGAGAGAGATTTCGTCAGGATTCGAACTCGCAATCACGATTGTCAGTCACAATTCTTTGAGATCAATTTTCTAAATGAATAAAATGGAGATTCATTAAATTCTGACAGCTCATCTGCATTTTGAATGCCCTCTTTAGTACACCTGAGTGAAAATAACTGCTGTTTATTAGAAAACGTTCATCATTTTTAGGTGTCAAGAGTGCAGGGTGTCCGCTCAAAGTTAAAAAGAAACCAATAACATTAACATTGTTTCTGTTCTTCTTCTTACGATAGGCACTTGCAGGTGAAAACTGGTCTTGATAAAAGTGCTGCACACGTAACGCAACGCGTAACGCACCAGATCACGTGTTCGGCCCTGACTCATTTGTTCATTTCATACAATCAGTCGTCGTTTGGTTACCAATTGGGAATTTACTTCTCTGTACCTAATATTAAACATCTGTTTAGGAGAAACGTGCTCCTTCTCACTAGCAGTATCTGTTTGAGTCGCCACGCTTCGAGTAAGGAAGAAGGGTGTAACTCGGTTTTATGAGATGACTGCCTGAGTGCAAAGACCTCAGAATCAACACTGATGTTAAATTAAGAAAGAAATCGAGATCATGATAGTGCAGTTCTACTTCCTTTAAAACTTTAACGAAAATGCTCATGTATTTTAGGCTTCCTGTACACGTTCACCATCTTTTACACGCTTCTCTTTCTTCAAGTGACTTTCCTAATCAAGTGATCAAAAGGTTATTCATATTTGAATATCAGTACTGAGTTGTTTCAGTCCTGTAACGAAGATTTAAGATTTGTCCTTAAAATACAAATGAGCAACGATGGAGTGCAGCTCTGTCTTCTATCCTCTATATTTCTCTCTTTTAGACACAAGGGAAAATCAAATGATGCCAAGATGTAAAAAAAAGGGTATAATTTTGAATAGTGAAAGAGTCACAGCTCTGAAAATTGCTACTGAAAGTGAGCTGTGAAAAACATCACGCTATTTCAGTACCTGAACGAGTCCGTTTACTTTTAGCAGAAGCAAATTCCCCCAGGAAATTTCTGTTCGGTGTAAGTTGATGTATGTACGCCACACACCAAAGCTTCTCCAAGCAGAACCAATACTGAGCTTCAGTCACAATAATATAAGGCATCCATCATTAGAGGGTCGTGAAGGAACCATTTAATGCACTAATGCCGTTACTGTACTGTACACGGCATGGTTCATGTAGCTTTCTGAATAAACAAACACAACCCAAAAGAAAATAATCAGCCATAACAAGAAGGGAATGTCCACAGAGCTCCGTGAAGGCCGGCCTGTCTGTACGAGACTCTTAGCCGCGAAAGACTGTAATCACTTTCCTGCAGCTCACTCCAAATGTTGTGCACTTCTCACAAGTTAATAAAGGAACGACGAGCGTTAATCTGCCATCTGCCCATCTCCTGCCACACCAGCGGGAGAGAGAACGACTAACATACCAGAAGTACTCCTTTCATTCCAGCTTAATATTTAAAGAGGTTTCTGCACAATAGCACACATCCCAAATTATATACAGAGGAACCGCTAGTTAAAGTGGAACAGAGTCTAGTGTTAACTCATTCAAGTACCTTCACTGATAAAGGGCTAGAAAATATCTAGGTGGTTTTAGCTGCAAACTAGTTGACATATTGAGTAAAAACAGGACAGCTGGATTTAAACTGATAGAGGGTTCTGGGAATCTGTGATTTCTAGCATAGGGGTCAGAGATTTGATTTTTTTTTTATGAGGGAATTATGATGTCAGGCTCACGATCAATTACATGCATCTACATTATTACATTACATACAATAACATACATCTACATTATTATAATTCTTTGCCTAAATAACTTGAATTAAACATTTAAATTATGCTAGACGTAGTTATATGCATTAAACAGGAAGCTGCTCATTTCATAAAACTCAATCACTTAAAAGCAGGAATAAATAAATAAATGTCAGCTTGACTCCAAGGACAATTTTAAATCCCAAAAAGCAGAAAAGTTTTGATGCGAATTAGAGATGGTGCTGATCCGAAACCCAGTATTAGAATCGGAAATCAGAGAAAACATATCGGATATCGCAACAAATTGCAAAGATTGGAAATTTATTTTCAGAACTGGAAATGTTTACATATAAAAAGACATGATTGATTTTATTATATTTAGGAATACTTTGTTATATGTATTATATTCACAATGTAAGTGATTTTTGTCAAAGAGTTTATCTATGACATGCTTCAGTAAAAAAAAAAAATTAATGCTTATTGTTTTCTTTAAAACCTGCTATCGGATGGGAATTGTGATCAGCTGATACAGAAGCTTACAGCGCTGGTCTCGGAAAAGAAAAAGTGTTATTGCTCCATCTCTAATCCAAATATTTTCAGTCTTTGAATATAATTACAGTCGTAAAAAGATGTAGTAAAAAAAATGGATGCAATAAGTAAATCTGATGGCACGCATTTTCATAATGTGGTTAATATTTGAATAGTTGGAATAGTCTCAGGAAAGAAATACGTCTGCGCTGGTTCACAGGGGGCTTGGTTTTGTGTGTGTGTGTCTACAACTACCACATTTAACACTTGCAGTTTATTATTATATCTCCTAACTGACGTCAATTAAACAGGTTTAAAACGAAATATATGCAGTAGGTAAATCTGATGGTGCGTATTTACCTAATGTGGTTAGTATTTGAATAGTTGGAATATCCTGAGGAAAAATATATATAAATATAAAAATATATGTACGTAAATATATGTATATATTTACATACATATATATATATATGAGGTACTAACTTCAAAACAATAACTGCAAGTGTTTCATTCATCAAAACTTCATTTTGTAAGTTATATGATGCCAGCTGTGATGTTTGTGTGGGGAAAATGTTAGTCTAGTCTACATTTAGTCTAGTCTACATGACTACTTCTCAACTTTGCAAATGATACATGATATTTCAGACCAAATTAATTGCTCATATAAGAAACCTAGTTTAATGTTAAGCACCTAATGAACCATTTAGGGGTCCAGTGACTAAAATGAGGATGGTAGCTGGGTTTGTGGTGTTGTTTTGTTCACCAACCTTGACACAGAAGAGGAGTGAACATTGTTCTGTACATTGTGTACCAAACCCCCTCAGTCTCTCAGTATCTGCTCTCCCCTAGAGCTAGCTTTACATTAGCTTTACATTAGCTCTACATTAGCCTGAATGAGCAGCCTGAATGCTGGACTGGACTCAGCAGTGGGGCTCTTTCAACTCTTGGAGTCTTTTTTCCATTTAGCGAAGACTTTTATCAGCTAGACAGACTGACAGAACAAACACAGCACCTCAACTTATATATATATATATATTTTAGTATAATGAAATATTTTTTCTCTGAACAGCCTGCTAGCTACGCATGAAGCTTCCAGGCCAACAAGCAAGGCTGCTAAAACATGACACATTACACACAGCTCGGTTAGCCTTAGCCTCTCATGGTTATCAAAGTGAGGTTAATATATGTTTTAAAAAAGAATAATAATAATAGTAGTAGTAGTAGTATGAATAGCTAAAGTGAGCTAGTGAGGTGAACTCACCAGCACAGGAGAGCTACAGTGAGGCACAGCAACAACACGCACAGCCTCTTCATTATCTTCCCGCGGGGACCAACATCCTCGCTTCTTTATCACGCACTGTCCTCTTCGTTTGCACTCAACTCAAAAACAAGCTAAGCAAAAAAAATGTTAATAAAGTATACAAATTATAAATACAGCGACTGAGGGGGTGTGTGTTTCGCGCCTGGCCTGTACACAGCTCTGTATCCGACCTTCTCTCGCTGTTGCTCGGCTGCTTCTGGCCCTCCTGCTGTCGCTAGGCCTCTCTGGCTCCGCCCCCTCTGCAGCGCTTCAGCCGTCTGCACCAATAGGAATCGCGCATACTGTTGACTCCGCCCACATGGCAGGGTGTCAGGATGAGTTGGAAGTTGTATCACCGGCCGCGTCACCATGTCGTTGATAAGCACCTATAACGACACGTGACGCGTTTTCTTGAGCAATGCTGAGACTCGTACTGTAGACCCAGGTGGACATGCAGGAGTGGACTTTACTGAATGATGTAACAGCGTGAGAATCAGAGCAACCTTTATTCAGGTTGCTGTAAGCACGCTCAGAACTTCTGAGTGAGGTCCACTTCATGAAGATGTCTTTATTTATCACATATACTGTACATTACAGTGGAATTGTTTTCTTCACGTATCTCAGCTTGTTAGGAAGTTGGGGTCAGGGCATGTCTGGAACACTCGCTGCTCAAAGGCCTAACCGAGGCAGCTTGGTGGTGCTGGAGCTCGAACCCACAACCTTCTGATCAGTAACTAGTAAGCAGTCATAGCTCAGTGGTTAAGGCTCTGGGTTACTGATCAGAAGGTCAGTGTTCAAGCCCCAGGACTGCTGAGCTGCTGTTGTTGAACCCTTGAGCAAGACCCTTCACCCTCTCTGCTCCAGGGACACTGTATCATGGCTGACCCTGCGCTCCGACCCAACTTCTTAACAAGCTGGTATATGTGAAGAAAACAATTTCACTGTGCTGTAATGTATATGTGACAAAAAAAAGGCTTCTTCTTCTTCTAACTTGGAGCCTTAAGCACTGAGCCACTCTTATAATATATGACAATGCCTAATGTGTAATCCATCACAGATTCCCATACCTGGTCTTGCACATTTCAGTGTTTTCCCTGCTCTGACACACCTGATTCTAGTCAGCAGGTAATTAACAGCCCTTCCTTTCTGAAGTGAGGATCAGAGCAGGAAAAACACAGGAGCAGGACCAGGGATGTGAATCTGTGCCTTAGTACAAAAAAAAATCATTCTCACTAGCAGATTGTTGACTTGCTGATCATGGTTTCAAGGCTCGATATACACTATATGGCAAAAAGTATGTGGACACCTGACCATCACAGCCATATGTGCTTCTTCCCCAAACTGTTGCCACAAAGTCTGAAGCACCGAATTGTCTAGAATGTCTCTGTATGCTGTAGCCTTACAATTTTACCTTCACTGGAACTAAGAGGCACAAACCTGTTCCAGCATGACAATGCCCCTGAGCTCCATGAAGACATGGTGTGCCAAAGTTGGAGTGGAAGAACTTGATTGGCACAAATCCCCTCAGTCACATTAAAATATCTAGTGTAAATCCTTCCCAGAAGAGTGGAGGCTGTTACAGCACAAACTCCATATTAATGCCCATAATTTTGCATGAGATATTTAATGGCACATATGGGTGTGATGGTCAGGTGCACAAACTTTTGGCCATATAGTGTATGTGCCCTTTGCCAGAAAAACAGGAGCCAGCAGTTGTCTTCTTAAACAACTCAATCTGGCTAAACTAATCAAGTTCTCTGGTGCAGTCAATCAAACAAATCTGTCCGTTTGGAATAATCACAGTTAATAAATGGCATACAAGATTTTATTTTAGATTTGTTAAGCGATGTATGACACATAAGGCACTGGCTTTGAGTCTCACTGCCCTGCATATTTTGTTTTAACCTGCTCAAACCCCACTGTTCATATTGCGCCTGAGACGTCCATCCAAATAATGAACTAATTAACTGTCTTGTCCTGATGTGTGCCCTAAAGGAGGAGCTACTTCCAGTGCAGGGTTGGGGATCACTTCAAATAGTAAACCAATTATTTTTTTATATACTATTTGTTGTTGTATAGTCTTTCTGCATCTATCCTAGTCATGAAGCATTGCATACCACCCCAAAGTGCATTATTTTTGTATAACAGCACTGTCTGGAGTGTGTTATTCTGCTTATACCACAGCAATTTGCCAACGATTGATTACAATGTTTAATTTATTGATGAACGACACATCACACATTTTAACACTTACAGTGTTATAGTATGTTAGCCTCGCACCTCCGGGGTTGGGGGATCGAATCCCGCCTTCACCCTGTGGTGCGGAGCTTGTGCGTTCTCCCTGTGATTCAGGGGTTTCCTCCAGGTACTCTGGTTTCCTCCCCCAGTCCAAAGACATGCACTGTAGGCTGGCTGGCATTTCCAAATTGTCTGTAGTGTGTGACTGGGGCCCTGCGATGGGTCGGCACCTTGTCCAGGGTGTCCCGAGTCCCTTGGGATAGACTCCAGCCTCCCCGTGACCCTGTGTAGGAAAAGCGGCACAGAGAATGGATGGATAGGACGTCCAAGAGACAAGTTAGTTCCTGTCATCACTTACAGTATAGGTGCGATAAACAGTCGTTCCCTCGCCAGCAATTCTCTCTCTCTCTCTCTCTCTCTCTCTCTCTCTCTCTCTCTCTGTCTCAAAAAAAATAAAAAATAAAAAACCACAGCTGTTCATTTTACTGCTGTGAAAGCACAAAGTATAAACTTCTCTGTTCTGGAAAACTTTGCAAAGCACTGACACTGGAAACTCTTTCCATAAATGTTAAATAAATGTTTTCTACCAAAAAAAAAAAAAACCTTCACCACATCACGTTATACGTTTTCTTTTATTAAAGAACAATAACAACAACAACAACAACAACAACACATTTTTATTAGTAGTATTAGATTTTATTTGGAGCATCCGCCGTACATATGCCTGTGCATGAGCTGTTACTATAGAAACAATAACGTACTGGAACGAGCGCATTAATATAAACCTATCGCTCATGTTACAGCACACCTTCTGACCAATCAGATTCGAGCATTCAACCGCGCTGTAGTATAAATAACTACAACAAATAATGTTAATATTAACATTAGAAATAATGTTAACTCTTGACTTAAATAATCTACATGGAGTATGTCCATGTATAGTCAATTTAAAACGACATTTTACAGGATAGACAGGCGTTTTTTTTTCTACAAAGTTACCAAAAAAAAGTGCGCGAGTGCCAAGAAATGACTCAATTTCCCATAATGCAACATCTTAAAGGTGTCTGTAACATTCGCCTGCGCGGAATAATAATTTTTTTTTTTCTTAATATTTGCGTTAGAGATAAAATATGTTCTTGGATATTCTGTTTGACTTATTCTAAATAAACAAAAACAAACAAACAAATAAATAAATAGTCTGTTAGTCTACACGTGGTTCTCTTTTGAGGGCGGCGGGGTCCTGAAGTAGCTGGTTGAGGTGTCCTCACACACACGTACGCACGCACACACACACACACACACACATTCCGAGAAGTTTCAGAGGAAAGTTGAGCTCAAATAAGAGCGAGTTGTTCATTTAAACAGGCGGCTTTTAGGCGTTATTGTTGGCGTTCTCACACAGAAGCTGCTTGTTGTTGTTGTTGCTGCTGTTGTTGTTGGAGGCAGAATGCGGCTGAGCTGGGCATTTGTTAGAGTCTTGTTATGGCTGTGTGTGTCGGAATGGAGTGCAGTCACCGGCGCTTTCACACAGTCTCTGGACAGCGACTTCACCTTTACTCTTCCTCCCGGCCACAAGGAGTGTTTCTACCAAACCATGAAGAAAGACGCCTCCCTGGAAATTGAGTATCAGGTTAACTCACTCACCTTTCGCTTTCTGTTCGAGTTCAGTGCACACTTATAGCTTTTACTGCTTTTTATTGCATGACCAGGTGTAGTGTGACACCCTGCAGCTCCAGGAGCCATTAGTTTGTTCGCAGTTTGGTGTAAAAAAATATTTTTTTAATAATGTGGCATCATCAGGAAACATCAGGGTCAAGAGCTTGAGTTAATGTTCACATCAAACATCAGAATAAAGAATAAAGTGTGATCTCTGTGACTTTAACCATGGCATGGATGTTGATGCCAGATGGGCTGGTTTGAGTATTTCAGAAACTGCTGATCTCCTGGGATTTTCACACACAACAGTCTGTATATTTTACACAGAATCGTGCGAAAAACAAAAACCATCCAGCAGATCTATGTGCAGAAACTCCTTGTTGATGAAAGAGATCAGACGAGAATGACCAGATTGGTCTGAGCTGACAGGAAGGCTATAGTAACTCAAATAATCACTCTTTACAACCATGATGAGCAGAAAAGCATCTCAGAATGCACAACACACTGAACCTTTAGGCGGATGGGATATAACTACAGAAACCCACACTGGGTTCTGCTCCTGTCACACATCTGAGGCTGCAGTGGGTTCACTGAAACTGATGATCTGATATTAATCCTGTCTTCAACTGCCCAATTTCATCAATGTGCAGGTGTTCCTAATAAAGTGGTCAGTGAGTGTGCAAGACCAGTTTCCACATCAGTAAAGAGCAGACTTGTGGCACAATCTGAATAGTGTTATGAAACATATCTGAAGCCAGAGTTGCAGGCAAAGGGTCGTTATTTCACATCATTGTCTTGGGGTCTCCTGGGATTTGCGCCTGGTTTAGAGAGACATTACGACGAAGGGCGGTTTACAGATTTCCTGATTGTGTGTGTTGTTGAATCTGCAGGTCCTGGACGGCGCAGGACTGGACGTGGATTTCTACCTGTCCTCTCCCACTGGTCACATTCTGGCCTCTGACTTCAGGAAGTCTGACGGAGTTCATACGTAGGTTTAACACACACTTTTCACTCATTCTTTCTATCTACATGTATTATTATTATTATTATTATTATTATTATTATTATTTTTACATTAGATACCCTAATGGTGTCTGGCGTTCTTTCTCAGAGTGGAGACTGAGGATGGAGACTACATGTTCTGCTTCGACAACACCTTCAGCGCGGTGTCTGAGAAGATTATTTTCTTCGAGCTCATTCTGGACAACATGGATGACGGAGAAGATCCTGAGAGCTGGAAGGAGTACGTGCAAGGTGCTGACCTGCTGGACATGAAGTTGGAAGACATCATGGTGAGGGAACACGCGCATCTTAGCACCTTAGCACTGAGAATAGCTCTCTTACAAGACAGCTTTCTAACCATGAAAAGAATCCCCCTAGCTCAGGAGAGCTCGATCTGGAGGCGCAGCTGAAAACACGGGTAGGTTTCGCAAAAATGAAAGCAGCAAGACTTTTATATTGGAAACATCATCAAGTCATTTCACAAGATCAGCAAAAACCACAGCAAGTGTTAATGGGAAACAGTGACTCAAAAGGATGGGTGAAGTATGTGGCAAAGATATATCACTGTAGTACTTATATGGTTTAGCACTGGTTTTATTAACGTCAAAAAATCAACAAGAAAAAGGATGAAAACGGAAACAGCTAGAGTAAAATAAATTGTGCAACAGATTACTCGTGATAGTGCTTTAGCTTGTTGGTATCTTTATGCCTCGGGCTTGAGAAAGACGAACGAGCACTTGAGCAATGTAATTCACTCTGAATAAAATATCTGCCCGATGCAGTGACTGTGAATGTTTCTGAATAATAAGGATTCCTGAACTGACCACGTTCCACAATTCTGTTTGGCTCACAGGTTATAAATAGATTCCAGATTACAATATTAGTTTCAGGAAGTTCAAGATTAAAACTGCAGCTG